AATGAGAAATAAGACACACAATATAAACAAAAAGACCACAAGCCAATAGAAAGAAGACAAGACATCCAAAACACCATAATAGTATAAGTAGCATTTTGCATACAGATTTTAGTGATATTTCACTGCTAATTTTATGAATTGCAAAACATTTCATTCCATAAATCCAATCATGAAAGATTGCCACTGTCTCACATTCCTCAAAATCCAACTAACCATTGTATTGTTCGCACCAGCTACGAATGCTATCAATCAATTAAATGGGTGTTATCAGTGGTTATCAGCTGATAGATATGAGCCAGTAGAGGCCTTCTGTGCCTACTGGTAGGCTCAGAAGGCTGTTATTACCCATCCACATGGTTAATCAGCTATGCTTATAAAGAAGAACTGTTTTTACATTGCTGTGACATTGCTGTTTAGGGGTAAGGTAGTGGAAGACGTTATTCATTCATTCATTTTCTTGTCGGCTTAGTTCCTTTATTAATCCTGGGTCGCCACAGCAGAATGAACCGCCAACTTATACAGCAAGTTTTTACGCAGCGGATGCCATTACAGCCGCAACCCATCTCTGGGAAATGTCCACAAACACATTCACACACACACACTCATACACTACGGACAATTTAGCATACCCAATTCACCTGTACCGCATGTCTTTGGACTGTGGGGGAAACTGGAGCACCCGGAGGAAACCCACGCGAAGGCAGGGAGAACATGCAAACTCCAGGGAAGACGTTAATAAAATACAACTAATGGGGAATTTAATGGATAATATAAATAATTCTTGTTAACTTCTGGCCACAGCCGTATGTAATCTGTAACTGATTAACCATGTATATGGATAATAACAGCCTTCTGAGCCTACTAGTAGGTGCAGAAAGCCCCTACTGGCCCATGTCTATCAGCTTAAACCAATTATAATACCCATTAAATCGAGAGATAACTTTCAAATCATGTGAATGTATATCAGAGCATGCTTTTTTTGTTTGTTTTGTTTCATACAGTTCTTCCTTACTGCAAAACATAAAAACATATATGGCATCTAGGGGCCAGTGCAATGGTTTCAAAACTATTTTGTAGACCTGAACCAGATGAACGGGAGGATTGGTTTGAGACAGTCCTCTGAGACCCTGTCTGGTTTACCCAAATTCAATTGACTTCCAGTGCTCAAGAAGCTAAATAAAGGTGCTTTTATCCAGAACACGCCAACTGAATAACAGAACAGCAAACACACAGACACGGCAGTATATCAACACAATAAGCATGCTATGGATCAGCATATGTGAAATCCATCAGTTCAAACCGAATGAGTACAAGTGATAAAAATCAAACGTCCAAACAAGCTGTATCTGTTAAAACAATGAAACAAACCATAACGACCCACAGGACCCACAACAGAGAGAAAACAAACGTCTGGACCTCAAGAACAAACACTCAACAGCCACAGCTGCCACACTCCAAGACAAACCCCAGCAAACCCCATAAAACAACCAAAAATAATAAATTTAGTTACTACTGTTCAAACATTTTTGCAGTGGAACACAGCTACAAAGTCACGGCATAATCAAATTTCCCAAAACTGACAGTGGCAATACACTCAGATAATGAAAACATAGGCTTTAGCTAGAAGCCGTTTTAGGAAAAGTTAGTGATCTCCAAGGACAGACAACATGTGATCCATGAGTTCTGACACTCTTTTAAACAGGCCCTAAAAAGCCATTTATTTATATCTCTCTGGAGTATACTTTAGCAATCTCAACTCAGCACTATAGTTGAGCTGCTGAGACACACAAACATGTTATAGTGATCCCCAAAAGGTTTTTGCCTGAACTAACTAACTGTAATAAACAATTTGCAACTATAGCTTTAATAGGTTACATAATGGTTTGCAATAAACCTGAAATATACTGTTTCTATAGATCAAGTTAACAACTTTAAAAGAATATTTTAAAATTTCATTTTTTTTTTTGTTTGATTGAGTGTTTTGTAAACCTTCATGGGATTGTAGTTCTTTCTCTTAAATATGTTAAATTCACAGCCTTGTTCCTTGGCTTTTGCCTGAATTTTTTTTTTAATTTACTTAATTGTTTCGGATTGAAGTAAATGGTTGGCTTATAACAGTTTTAAGGGCACTTTTTTAACCACTTTTAAAAGATGTAAGATAAGCCTTTGGTGTCTCCAAATATTCATCAGATTATTTATAATAGCCATTTGCCAGTACACATACACATATGTTTGCGTTTACTGACACCATGGGGGCGTGGCTATTATAGTGGTTAGGAATTACATGATGATTGACATATTGACAAATGTCACAAAATGTTTGTGAGTTTTGATAAGGAATCAAAATGCAATATGCAACATATTCCAAACAAAACCAACTGCCCATCTCTACACTTGTAGGCTACTTCAATATTTTTATTTTATTCATTTTTTAATATATGCATATTGCTGATCTTTATGTCTGCTTCTGTCTTTATTCTGTCTTTTCCTTGTGAATGCACCATTTTATAGGGGAGCACCATGGCTAATATTAAAAAGCCTGGCCTTTGGGGAGGATTATTTATATGAATCATGGAAATGAAATTTAAAATTTTAAATGATGAATTACTGGTTGGGTGCCTCGCCTCCTTTTTAAAATCATACCTTTTGTATGACTAAACTCGTAAGAGTTTGTATGAATTTGCCACTGAACAGACAAAACAGAAAATCTTTTCTCGTAAGATCAGGCTAGTCCTATCACAATCACTTTCAACGTTAAACTAACAACTTGAACCATAGACTTTGCCTTCTTTAAAGAGCCAATATTTTGCAATAAAAAGGTTATATTTTGGTTTTAGGAGTCTCCAACAACATGCTGATATGCGTGCAAGGTCAAAAAAACACTCTCATTGTCTTATATTTATGGATTTATTTTTACCTAATTATCACTGCGACTCCCATATGTATCGTTCAGTGATTCATTTGTTACCAAACCCCATCTTAGCGTGAACCTAATCCACGGTGATTGGTCCAATGACCCAGTCTGTTGCAATTGGTCGACTGCGTTTAGCACGAGACAGAGAAAAATGCCCACCAAGCTTACAGTATGAAGTAACACAAAGTATGTGAGAGCCAAATGTGGGAATGCAATAAAGCAATGTAGTTAAACACCAGCATTTTACTCTACTCTTAACCGTAACCCCAGGTAAAAACAAGGACACACATTCAGTATTAAGCCACACAGTGGCAAAAGTTGAACAAATTTGAAAACTGACCATGCCGCACATGTGAGGAACAGCTGATGGTAGTCATAGCAAAAGCAAATAGCAAAGGATCACAAGTTCAGAAGCGCATTTAAATCAGTAAAGGAAGAAGCACGCATCATGTTTTTTAACGTGGTTTTGGACATAATATGTAAACAGCCCCAGATTTAACCTCAAAGATATAGTACAAGAACTGATTTTCCAAACTACACAAAACGAGGCAACAGTTTTAAGGACACTTACATGTTATGTTGAAGAGTAAAAGTTACTGACAAAGTCTCTGTCAAAGTCAGACAAAGTCCCATAGTCTCTGCTGCTCCTTCAATAGCAAACGACCGATGAATCGCGCATTGCAACGTAGGTTATTGTATCAAAAATCAGAAAAATGACAGGAACAAACACTGCACTAGGTTGGCTATACTGTGGTATTGTTGTGAAAATGAACTTTAACCCTTTATTCCTTGTAGCCGATTCTGTCAGTGATCGTCATCTTCGCATCATGATCAGTAGCATGATCCCCCGCGCCTCTGCTAGTGTGTGGAGGGAAAGCGCGTGTACATTTTAACGGAACTGGAAGTACATATTTGGTGATGAACATTGATGCTATAAAACAAAAGATCCGAACCCAACACAATTCGTTTACTCGACTCTGAGTCAACTATTTCACAAAAGATTTAAGAGATTTAAACCTCAGCTGGATGTTTTCATTTACTTAAAGCTGTGTTACATACTGCATGGTAGGTCATTTTTAAAAACCCATAATAGGGGCTCTTTAATTTGATAGGCCATTCAATCTTTTTTCAGTATGTGAGCACAAAAACCATTGGTTGGTTCCAGTCTGCGTAAAGATAAACTGGAGCAGTTCACTTGTGGTGAGAAAGCAGTCTGACTCAGTGGGCCAATAAACCAGACTTTATCACTCTGCAAAATGAATTATTACACATGCTGCACAAAAATAGCAGTGATTATTTTTCTAAAGCCTTCAAATGAATCGTGGGTAGTCTAAACCTAGAGAAAAGATGTGAAAAAGCTTATTTCAGAACAACCGATCAAAACACAACCGTTAACTCTTAGATTTTGGCTCATAATGATAAAAACAATAACTTCAGTGACAAAGCCCCAGTTTATGGGTAAATCCAGGAATGTATATATTTTTTTAAACAATGAAATGAGAGTTTATCTAAATGTGGCTTTTGTTTAGCATTTATAAATATTTCCTTGTGAATCTGACCAAATCCAGATAAAGTCTATATGCAAAACTTTTAATCCACAATTGCAGACGAAAGCAAATTATCTGCTGGTTTGAAAACTTTTTAACCTTTTTGTTTTCCTAAGAACATTGTGCTGTGTATTGAAGTGCAGGAAAGCTGTGCATTTTAAATATTGTCTAGGACAATTTGGCCATTTCTAAATACTGGAGAGGTCTAGCCCCCTTTAGTGTCCATATTGGTCATGGCCCTGGTTAATCCACCTAAATCAGTGAGCTGTGGTTTGCACCACATGGGTTTGCTGCCTCTGTGGCGTAAAACATGGTCTTCCGGGACATCTGTTTTAGATCAGTGTGTGATTTTTGTGGCATGGTAGGAAGATTTTAGATCAGTGTGTGATTTTTGTGGCATGGTAGGAAGATCTATTACACCAGAATGTCAACGATCATATCAAGCTCTTTCATACACTGTTCTAAACTGCTAAAATACCCATAGGAAAGCTGGATAATCCATATCAGCCATTATTTAAGAGAAGTAGAAATGTGCTTACCAGATTCTGACGCTCTGTGAAGGTGTAGGTTATTGAACAACCATTTTGCAGCTGGTTTTTAATCTGCAAGGGAAAGCATTGAAGGCGAAAACAAACAATTTGACATATGTTAAGCACATATTCACATAAAATACGTTTTAATAGGGCCAGGCAGTTTTATTCACTAATTGTTTTCAATTAAGCGGTCATTCAGTGCAGTGGTATTTAATTAAGACAGAATGCCAAAATTCTTCTATATTTAGTATTATGTTTCACTAGCACTCAAACAACTCAAATTAGGTTATGGATGAGTAACCATTAAAGACAGCTGTGGTTTGCTGTGGGATGTTATAACAAATTATTCTATAAAAAAATAATAATAATAATTGCATTTTGGTTAGGCTGCTGAGTGATTTACTGCCAGTAAATGTGACTCATCTTACCAGACGTCTTAAATTGAGTAGATGGTCCTGGGTGACAGAGTGCTTACATGGACCTGGCACACCAGCATAGACCAGATGAAAGCACAGGACAAGGATGAAGCACTGATGCCTTACCTGCAATCACAAAATTATGAATGTTTTTTTTTATTTTTATTTTATTATCTGTGACTTTTATTTTCAGAAGCTCAACGGCATGCTAAGATATTTACCTATGCTAATCATTTTTCATTCTTATTATTTTTAAGATGTTAGGATGTTAAGTGATGTTTTGTAATTTAGCGGTTTAGAAGTCACTACTTTATTTTTTTAAGTAGATTAATCAGTTCCGTGATTCACATCTAAGCAAATCATGCATAGACAAATAGCATCACAGATCAACCTCAAGAATCACAGAATCTTCTATAAATCAAACAAGCATGTGTAGTCTGGAAGCATAAAAAGTGACCAATTATTTGCAATATCATTACACAAAATGACCGAGAGACTCTTTAGACTAAATTACCATAAAAATAACTAAACACACTACAGAATATTATGTTTTTAAACACAATCACAAATTGCATGAATTTATCAGAGCTGCACAAGCTTAGTTTGCAGTATTCAGCTTGTTGGTCAGTTTTCAAAGTGTCTAATTTGTGACAACATATCATCACATCTTTTTGCCACAATGTTACACGGTGCATATAGTTTTGTAATGTGTTTTCATATTAAATCAACCTCACATTTTAAATGTACAGTCCATGAATGTAATTTAAGTTACACTTAGAAACACCCTTAAAAGAAAATTAAGTCTTCCCATACATGGCTCCTAAACTAGGGCTCCTTAACTAACGGGATTAGCCATCCTGATAATGTCCGGGGTTCAGGCACACTCTCTTAATTCAAAACTAGATTAAAGACCTATCTTTTTAGTAAAGCATATACACAATGTATTACATAACTGTAGGGTGTGTGAGTGTGCTCCATACAAAAGAGTGGGCTTGACAAACCACCCATAGGACACACTCTTCCTGTCTTATTACTTTGTTAGAAATACTTCTATCTTGTATTTGTGTGTTTCTATGTTTGTTTATATAACTCCTTATATAACTTATTTAACATCATAAGTAACACATTAAATAAAGTTTGTTGTTTGGTCTGCAATAAAATGCAAGTCATAGTACATTTAGAAATCAATACTTTATTTTTTATTTGTATGTTTCATACTGTCTTAACCTTTTCTGATTTGGGTTTTGTATATATATATATATATATATATATATATATATATATATATATATATATATATATGTATGTATATATATATGTAGCATATACAGTATATATATATATATATATATATGCTGCACTGTATACACACACACACACACACACACACACACACACACACACACACACAAATATTTTGCTAAATGGCCTACATAACATATTAATTTGATTTTAGTTTAGATCTAGTTAGTAACGTAGTTGTTTAGATTGTAGATATAGAGATTATTATTATTTATTATTGTTATTTCATCTTAAGGTTCTCCACTGTTGTAATTTTTTTTAATTTGTATAATTTTTATTTTTTTGCCATTTGTAGATAATAGCTCTCACTGTGGTTAGCTGCAGTCCTAAAGCCTTAGAAATGGTTGACAACCTTTTCCGAACTCAGATCTCACTTATTTAATTTTTTCATTTGTATATTAATTTATCTTATTCTCTGCATGATGTCTAGCTTTTGAGGATCTTTTGGTCTACTTTGTCAGGCAGGACAAATTTAAGTGATTACTTGATTGTGAACAGTTATGGCTGTAATCAGGCTTGGTGGTGGCTAGAGAAATTGAACTTAGGTGTGGCAAACTAGAGTTATGTTTTTAAAAAGGGGATGGGGGGTGGGGGTGTTCTGGGACAAACACTTTTTCACACAGGACTATTTGGTTTTAATAAAATCCTTAATATCAAAACTGCACAATGTGTTTACTTGGGTTTTTGACCAATAAAAATATAAATAAAGGCACCACATAATCAATAAACCACAGCCACTGTATCTGATTATAAGAATTCAATAAAGGCATATTGTACATGACACTGCATCTGATTATAATAATGTTTCTTGAGTAAATGTTATTGTACATGACATGTTCTTACTATCTCAATAAGAAAACATAAAACAAACATCTTGCTCTCATTTTTTCCCCATCATATACATGAAACCTCAATTATATCCAAAGCAAAATATGTTTACAACATCCTCAAATTCCCCTGCAGCAACCAAGACTCTAGAAGCTCATAGAGAAGAAATATAACCTCAGTTACTCCCCAGTCCTTAATTCACTCCAACCTGGGTTTAACCCCAAAAGCGTCTGTTTACAATTTACATCCATAACATGTATAATCATCTGAATGAAGCCCACATGCAACATAAAAGCACTTAATCACTTAATGGAATTAATATAGCAATAAAGTGAAGATAAATGCATTACAACAGCAGATTTCACAAACATACTGAAGCTTTAAAAGCTATGCAAGCCTGAGTGTTTATGATTTTGGCTGAATGATCAGAAAAGCAGTAAAGCAAGGAATAGTGAATGCCTAAATCTTTGCTCATCATCTCCACAGGAGAGCTAAATCGACGTAAAACTTGTGTGTGGCAGATGGAATGGTTTTCGGCTACTTTGGATGATAAAAGCCAGAGAGCATGTTAACAATATCTTGAAAAAGAACTTACAAGCCTCGTTAGAGACTGAAAGAGACAAGAAACATTTATGGGAACAAACTGCATACTGTTTGTCTTTAACGAGTAAATTCAATTTTAAGGATAAAGGATGGTGAGCTCATTTACTTTACATAGGTAATGCAATGCAAAAAATAAATAATAATAATAATAATAAATAAAGAGTTATAAATATTAAATAATTACTTTTGGTAAAAGTTTGAGATATGCACTAATAAATGTACAGTATCATTCAACATGTTAGAAATGAATAATTATACTGTGTGTTAATAATGAATGAATGAATGAATGAATGAATGTTTAAATGGTTGGATTAATGAATGAATATGGGTGTTTGAATGAATGGACATGGGTGTTTCACGGCGTTTAATCACAGTAAATAAATAAATAAATAATCATTCAAAATACTAGCATTAAATGCATTTAAAATAAATACATATATTATACATTTACTAAGGTTTTACATAAATAGAGCTTTCATTTTACAGTTTTTTATTTTATAAGAAGTATTTCATGGTGTTAAAATACACAACAGCAAAAGATGGGTATACTAATTAACTAACTATTTGGGGTTTTAATATTAAATATTAAATAATACTAATTATTTAAATAATACTAATATTAAATTAATACTAATTTTGGCATTAGTATTAAATATAGAATATATTTTTTAGTGTGTTGGAAGTTAATTAACACACTTATAGTATGCAATTAATTGATTAATTAACTAATTATCAAGATTATTATTACTAATATTCTAAAATATTACTAATATACTAAATATCAAGAATGCTGAATAAAAAAAAATCTTCAGGCATTGTAGGTTTATAATAATACATATCCCTAATTTTATTTACATTGTTGAAATTAAATAATATATTATTCATGGTAAAACATTGTATCCAGCTTCTCAATTATTGTATTAATAAATATACGATTATAAATATTTACAGCTGAAGTCAGAATTATTAATATTCTTTTTTAAATATTTCCCAAACTATGCTAAACAGAGCAAAGAAATTTACACAGTATGTCTGAAAATATTTTTTTCTTCTGGAAAAAGTGATTTATTTCGCCTAGAATAAAAGTAGTTATTAATTTTGTATAGAAGCTGTATAGAAGTGTTCATGAAAAATATCTAGTCAAATATTTAATAAAATAATTGGGTAAAATAAATCAGTTATTAGAAATGAATTAATATTTAATAATTCAGGGAGTTAAAAATAAATATAGCAATACATGAATTATTTTGTGCTAAACATGTATAATACATAATTTAATACAATAAATTTCAAATCCACATATAAAATATTACATTTATTATCCATGGTGTTGAAAGTTCATAACAGATAAACATCCACCTCAATATTTAAAACATTTAACCTCTTGAAACCACTTGTTTACCAAATAAAATACCAAGAAATTACAATGGACAAAGCAACTTAATCACCTGCACAGCCAAGTGAGCTGGCAGAGATTTTATTTTTTATTTACATTTTTTTTTTATTTCTTGGCTAAAACTCTGCCAACCTAAGCAATGAAATTTCACAGACTACTGACTCACAGACTTAGCTTTTTTTGTTCTCCCCCTCCTGCTTTCTGCTTTCTCTCTAACTCACAACTTTTCCCCCCTGTTGTTTAATGGTATGGCATTTTTACATTACATTACATTTACAATATCTGGATAGCCATAAGTCAAAAAACCAACATCTATAGGGAAAACGTTATTGGAAAACTAATAAATAAATAAATACATTTCACAGAAAGCATATTAAGGCAAATCACCACAAAAATTGTCTGTAATTAATACACACCTTTCCCTTTAATCAAGCAAAAGCTTATACAAAATCGATTCAGTTATCAAACGACAAATGAATGCTGACTGAGCAGAAAACGTTAGACATACCTTGGCTTTGTGGGCTGTTATGTGTGTGTTCATCTGGCTGACCTGAACAAATAGAAAGCAATAAAGTCCACATGTAGATTCATTGGATTAGTTTTGTTGTCTTGCGTTTGTTCCTAATGAAGTCAGTATCCGTCCTCTGTGGGCTTCAGGCGTCCAGATACTGATGCAAAGGGATCTGCATGTGGAAAGTTTAGACGTGCCACCTTCAGAGGGTGAATGTTTCTGTCTGGGGTCGATGGAGAACCAATAAAGTGAGCCGCGGCTAAAGACCTCCTCCTTTCTCTCACTTTCCCTTCACTCATTCCAGCTTCCTGACATTTTATTGATGAGAGAACTTTGTGCTCCCTTTAGACAGATTTAAGACATACATGTGTTTTGATCTCCCAAAAGGCTACAGCTGAGGATGTGGTTACACTTTATTTCAATGATTCTCTGAGTGTGTTTGTTAACTCTCATTAGAGAATTAGTGGATTCCTGACATTTTATTGATGAAGGAAGTTTTAGCTTCTCGTGGACTGACTTATGACATCCATGTGTTTTGACCTCCCGAAAGCAACATTTTGGATTCTGGAACACAAAACCAGATACCGATCAAAAATTGAGTTTTGATATATTTAAGGTAGGAGTTTTGCAACATTTATTTAAAGAACATGATCTTTACTCAATATTCAAATGTTTTATGGCATAATAGATAAAAAGAATTAGACATGAGTTATACATTTAAAGGGCACATAGGTTACCCCTTTTTCATATTTATTATAAGTCTTTTGTGTCCACAGAATGTGTCTGTAAAGTCTAAGCTCAAAACATCCATCAGAGTATTTATTATAACTGTTTGAAATGTCTGTATTATAGCTGGGAAAAGGTTGTTGCTGTTTTTTGCACTGGGCCTTTAAGGTGAGTCATCCCTGCCCACCGATCCCACGTGCCTGTCAGCAACATGCCTCAACACGCCCTCGGCTGCCTCAGGAATCAGATCTCACGTAACGTTTGTGAGAATTAATACAGTAAGAACTTTACCAATTAGTATTTGATGCATTTTTTGTGGAGTTACAACAATGAGTTCACGCACACACAGCGCAGACACACACACATAGCACAGACAAGTAGCGCAGACACACAGGCACATACATAGCGTAGACACGCAGGCAGACACACACACACACAAACATAGCGCAAACACACACACAGAGAGAGACAGTGAGAGAGACACCAGGCTGTGCTGATGAAGTGAATCTGAAGTGAATTGCTGTACTTCATTACACACGTGCACACGTTTAAAAAAATGTTAAACTTATTAAACTCACTCTTGATCACATCTGATGATGATTGATGATCCTAGCAAACAGAACAGACCTTTTATTCCCAGTTGCTTTGCGCTTGTCCTGTCTTGTCGATATTATTTTACGCATTACTATGAAGACATGTTAATGCGTGCAGCTGTCAATCAATAGTGGTGGGCGGGGGAACCGCACTCCTACGTAAAGTTGCGGTCGATCTGAATACCGCTCCCATTGGTCCACCTTTTTATGTTGTTAAATTTGAAAAAAAAGGACTGGGTGTGTTTATTTCACCCCAATATGACAGTATATACACTATACTTATACACATGTATGTCCAAACAGCTTGAAAAGTAAATTTTTCACCATAGATGCTCTTTAAAGACGATATACCTATTTAAATCAAATATGTCCCAAAGCACAAGAGATCATTTAAATGAACTGGTTTTAAGGGTTAAAATGTGATTTGGGTTGAAAGTAGATATCAGCTCTTTAGTATCAGCAGGATCATTACTACTGAATAAGGAATAATGCATTTATTGATGAGGGATGTTTTAGCGCCCTTTAGACTGGTATGGTTTGTAACATGAGTTTTGACCTCAAACTGTATTTAATGGACGTGGCTACACTTTATTTTAATAGCACTCTTTGTTCCCTGCTAAAAAGAAAAAAGAAAACTGTAGAAACCCTCAAACTGTTAATGATTTTAATGGTTATATAAAATTTGATTGGTCATGAGTGACTCATATGGATCTTATTAATTTTGTGTTAGTACCTCTGGGTATAATTTTTTATATTCAACTTTAGTTGGTCGCATGATAAAACCAATGAATCCTAATTGAATGTGCGCATGAGCATGTCAAATTAACTGCTTTTAATAGTCAAAGTTTGATGGTTTGGAATGTTTTATTGCTATTGGTACTAAAACCATTCATTCATTTTCTTTTCGGCTTTGTCCCTTTATTAATCCGGGGTCGCCACAGTGGAATGAACCACCAACTTATCCAATTTGTGTCTGAAAGCAATCATTTCCTTATTTGAAAATTAATTCACCAAAACAATAGCATGCCTGAATTACACACACACACACACACACACACACACACACACACACACACACACACACACACACACACACACACACACACACAGTTTTATATAAACTGTAACAATAAATCAACACTTAATCACAAAGTGGCTCTTTGTTCTTTTTTTTTGCTTGTTCAAGCTACTTATTTCAAATGAGCTGAAACAACACAATTCTTTAGTTTTCATTAGGACAACCTTTTTTTTTTTACCTTTCAATCCACATAAATTTGTTGAAATTTAAAGTTAACTTATTTAATTTATGTTGGGACAACATAAATAAATTGTGTGGAACCCTGCATTTTTACAGTGTAAGTTATTATAGGGCAATAATTTTAAGGTTGCATGCCCACGAAAGTACTTTTGTGCTGCTGAAAATGCATAGGCTCCTCCAAAAATGTTTAGCTGTGAGCACGTATTTCTTCATGTTTATTTATATAGCGCTTTTACAACATAGATGTCAAAGCAGCTTAAAAAATGGCTAAAACTTTTCTTATGAAACAGATGCTCAGTGTCTCATTACACTGCTGCTGTTTTAATAAAACATAGCACTGTCATTGTAAACAACTGAAAAAAATACATTTCCCTTCGAAAAAAAACATACTTTGATGGACACTCTTTAAAGATACAGTAGTACTATATGTAAGGGATAATCAATGGCTTACCGTGTGTTAAAAAGAATGGTAAATGTACACAATGCACAATGTGGGCGCAAAGAATTGCCTAACACGCAAAACAAAGTGCATTTAAAATCCTGTGATGCACAGCAAGCTGTTGATTATCTCACTTATTCCATGGTCATTTGCTAAGGTATAGATAAGTTTAAATTATTGTTGGTCTTTGCAGTGCAATTTTTTACAGAATTTTCACCAGTTATGACATGTTAGATCTACTCTTCACATTGATATAGGCACATAACCCTTTTAATGAAAATATGTTTAGAGCTGGTCATCTCGCCAAACTGATTTATAAGGGGAGAAGAGCCTTGGTGAAAGAGGTCAAGAAGAACCCAAAGATCACTGTGGCTGAGCTCCAGTGATGCAGCTGGAAGACGGGAGAAAGTTGTAGAAAGCCAATCATCACTGCAACCCTCCACCAGTCATGGCTTTATGGCAGAGTGGCCCAAAAGAAGCCTCTTTATTGTGCATGACAGATGAAAGCCTGTCTAAAAATGGTGAGAAAAAAGATTCTCTGGTCTGATGTGACCAAGATAGAACTTTCTGACCGAAATTCTAAGCGGTATGTGTTGAGAAGACCAGGCACTGCTCATCATCTGTCAAATAAAGTCCCAACAGTGAAGCAAGGTGGTGGCAGCATTGTGCCGTGGGGGTGTTTTTAAGCTGCAAGGGCAGGACGACTGGTTGCAATAGAGGGAAAGATGAATTTGGCCAAGTACAGGGATGTCCTGGGCAAAAACCTTTTCCAGAGTGCTCAGGACCTCAGACTGGGCTGAAGGCTGACTTTCCAACAAGACCATGACCCTAAGCACACAGCTAAAATAACGAAGGAATAGCTTCTCAACAACTCTGAGACTGTTCTTGAATTGCCCCACCAGAGCCCTCAATTAAACCCAATTAAGCATCTCTGGCGGGACCTTAAACTGGCTGTCCACCAATGTTTACAATCCAACCTGACAGAACTGGAAAGGATCTGCAACGAGGAATGGCAGAGGATCCTCAAATCCGGGTGTGAAAAACTTGTTGCATCTTTTCTAAAACGACTCATGGCTGTATTCAATCAAAAAGGGTGCTTCTAGATGCTGATCAAAGAGTCTGAATAATTAAGACCATGTGATATTTCAGTATTTCTTTTTTAGTAAATCTGCAAAAATGTCAACATGTTTTTGTTTTTGTGTCAATATGGGGTGCTGTGTGTGTACATTAGAGGAAAAAGATGAACTTAAATGATTTTAGCAAATAGCTGCGTGAACTGTGTGAAGAGTGAACAAGGGAGACTGAATACATTCTGTAACCACTGTATATGATGCACGTGATAAACTATTACAATTGTATGGGTGCCGAGGTTATGAGAGACCTTTGATTTATTATCTAGACATATTTCTGCCAGCGGAAAATACCGCAAATGTCAGACTCTAATTTATTAAATTAAATTGCTTCTAAGCATCAAACAAGTCTCTGCTTAAAATTAGTGCTGTTAGTCTATTGAAAATGTATATCAATTGCGTCAGTTGTGTGTTGTTCTGGTCAGAGATTTGCGTGAAGCACAGACAATTGATAAAGGATGGGAAAGTGCTATAACAGACAGATGCTGGAACAAATTACAACTGGAGCTGTTTGCAGTTATGTTTTCTATGCAGTATTTAACTGACTGTCTCTGGTTTGTGTCAAAAATCACTATATTACTTATTATTTTCACATAAACTTTCCTCTTTAAATCTACAATGACTTGCAAAAGCTAGCAAAGGTTGTGTAAGCTCTACAAGAAATTCTTATGTGGTTATTTTACCAGTTGTGTAATCTATGATCACACTCATCCGTGAACTATAGATTTATTTACATACATTTTGCTTTAGATTCATGTAAAAAAAAACTGAATAACGTATAAGTACTGTATGTAATAAAACATCTGGCAATATAAATATACTGGAAAATGTACTGAACATGTAATTCAGTTATTAAATTATTTATTTGAAGAACTATACTTTGAAAAAATACACTCGGTCAAAAGTTTAGGGTCAGTATGATGCTTAAATGTTTTAAAATAAGTTTATCCTGCTCACCAATGCTGCATTAATTTTTTCAAAA